AAGCAGACAACTAGAGATTGTTATACACAATTGCCAGATCTGCTATGTAACACAGCCTATGTACCACAGCCTGAGCTAGTCACCAGATTTAAAGCCCAGGCTTTAAATGTAGCTGTCACAAACCTGTTGTCTCCAAAGTGAGATATTTTGGGCTACAGCTATGCATCTTGGCAGCCAAAGGGCACCTGTGTAACTGCTGCTGGTCCCTGTAACTTCTGATTGCACTTTCACTGCCCATCTTCTGACCTTACCAGTGACAAGTCACGAAGCAGCAATCTGTCCAATCTGCAGTGTAAGAGAACTGAAGATAACAGCAAATACCATATTTTTGGAATTACAGCATTTATTGAAAGATGCAAAGGTTAGCTGATACAGCAGGAAAAAAAGCAAGAGCCACCTCAGGCATTGAAAGTGGAGTTGCTCAGTTTAGTGTCTCCCCAGATGTATTTCCTCAGAAAATACATCACTCTCTGGGTTTAATTTCCCATTGCTTCTAATGAACACACCATCCTCTTTATTTAAAGAGCCAGTGGTAGGAAATATTAACTGCACCTCTGCTTGGACACTGCCAAGAAAATAAATGTCATGTTATATATAGCCCACTGTCCTGAAAAGCTCACAGGTGCTGGAACCAGCAGCACCTTCTCCCCACTGGGGAAGCCAATGTCCCACACCCATGTCCAGCACACAGCCTTCTGCTGCATCCCAGTGCTTGGGACTGCTCCAGTTGCTGCAGTGCTCCTCTGAAAAAGTACTGGAGCAATAAATACTAGTTCTAGTAACTTGCAGGATTTCAACACGCTGAAAACTATATTCATCTGGATACTAAAAATACCTTCTCAATTTAACCCACTGTTCTTTTGAAATGCTGTTTGATAACTAGAGGGAAAACAATGAAAGACTTCCAAGTTTTATGTATTTTATTTACAGGCCGCACAATACATTTTATATACAAATGGCTTAAAATAACAAAGAGTAAGCAAGCTGAAGCATAACAGTTTATTTTAAATTAGGTTGTCTTGAAGTAACTCCTGCAATAAAGTATTCTTCACCCTGATAAGCAAAAGTTAATTCACTTTTAAGTCAACCCAAGGTTCCATTTTTAAATACAGAATTCATATCAATTTTTCTGGTGATTCCTTAAATTCATGACACACTTCTGCAAATAATGAACATCCCAAAAACTATGAAGAAGGGAAATAGCCAAAATTTCCTCATGTAAAAAACAGTGTAACAGAATAGGCTGGAGAATTGTTGCATGTCAAACACTTGCGTGTTTTATTAATGAAAAGAAGAACGCAAGAAGTACAACTGAGATTTTTCTTTCTTGGAAACAAATTCATGGTCCGAGATCTAATTTGCCCACAGAAAAGAGGTATCCTATATTACTTCAGTACTTCAGTTTTTACTGCACAATTATCTATTAAACTCAACCAACTGTAAACTTCACCAAAACTGAAACTGTCTCCTGCACCAAGCAAAAGGAGAAGAGCACTCAAAACCATAAGAACTTACAACACGGCACATATTGCCTCTGCTTCTAGAAAGCACCTTACACTACCATGGGATGGAGAAAACGTAACATAGACCACGTTTTAGGGAAGCATAAGAAAATAGAGAAGTTTGCCATTTTAAAATTATTTTTTCCAAATAGTTATATTAACATTTAAGGATACATGTATTTTTGCACCTCTTCCCTAACACTGCTCCTTCTGGTCAGGATGACTACAACAACTAGCAATCCATAAAAGCTGTTTCCTTGTCCTTTGGCTGAATTTAAGCACTATAATAGTCTAAGCATTTTAAGTCCTGGTCATAGCAGTCCAGTTGGGCTCCCTTCCTTCCTCTTGGTATGGCTAAAGACCACTGAATATTAATAATGAAGTACTTGCTACTTGATAGTCCATTATTACAGTATTTTGCTATGTTTATTTAGAAATACAAACACACAACACTTACTTTTCGATGCAGTGTCCAGGTCTCTGTAGCTCACTTTGGAATTGCAGCACAGAAAATGTAAACCCAAAGGAATGAGGGGGAAAGTAACAAAAGCCACAGCTCCACAGAAAAGTAACGCGGTTTTCAGAACGTCTACTACTGCATCAAAAATGCAAGAGCCACATGATGGAAAACACCAAACTAGTACAGACTCTGAGTGGTTTGCTCCAAAGGATAAAATTCTGTCATAAGCACCTTGTCATGTGATCTAATTCAAAAGAAACACTGACAGGTAATACACAGGTCTGGTACAAATGAGTGTGGACCTCCCGTCCCTAGATCCAGCCAGTCCCCAGGCACTGAGCTGCCCAGACACAGCTCCAGGGCAGGGAAGCACAGCTGTGGGCAGCAAATCCTCCTGCCACACACCCCAGGGGCTGCCCTGAGGGAGGAGGGCAGAGCTCCTTACCCACATGCAGCCTCCAGCAGCCCAGGAGGAAAGGCTGTTAGCCAAAGAGCCAAGAAGATCCCCTGGGTTGCAGAGAAGGTAATATCTTCAGAGTGATCATATATGGAGATCTGGAAGTCAACTGTCTATTGCAACTCCTTCTCACTTTTCACAGTCAGGATTACTTGCACTGGAGTGGTTGGTTGGTTGGTTTTTTCCATGGCCAAAGACTGAAATCCATCATGGTGGAATGATGTATCAGAGTACTCCAATTTACACATGCAGAGGAGACTAACTTCTCTGCATTAAATGAGGTGGACTAAATGACTTGAAAATTTACCTCCAAAAGGGAAGCAGGAGGAGGCACAATGTCCTCCATGCATTTTTGTATTGCAAGTCAATTCATTTAGTCCTCTGAGATCTACTCTCCATTTGAACTTACCTGCAATTTTACCCAACTATCACCTGCAGTTACATGTGAAGTGCAGGTGACCCCAGACAGCACATTTTAGTGAAAGTAACTGCCTAAAGGGCTTTCAGTCTTTTGCTTGATTCTGAAAATATAAAAAGCAATTCATTTGTATCTCGGTGGGGCTGGGCATTTCAGAGATTAGTAAACAGAGACTGACAGCTGACACTGTCCACATCTAAATGACACTAATGATTTTTGCCTTTGTAATTTTACTAGGAGGAAAATGCTACAAGGGGTGTCCTTACTCAAGGAAAACTATCCAATGCACTGCCATTCACATGAAGCTTTTATTTTTCTGAAGCACAGGCTATTCAGATCATAATGGTATTTTTCTGACCTGACTGCTTTTATCTTCAAATTGCACAATTTTCTACTGTGTCTAGTAAAGGCAACTGCCAGACTGGTAGGGACATCAGCAGCAGCAGGACTCTCTCTCCATTCCTCATTTGCCAGATTCTCAAACACTACATAGGAAGCGAAGTGAGTTTCTCCATGCTCTACAAGGTGGTAGTTAGCCATATATGAACCAGGATTTTTGACTAAAACGAAACACCAACAACTTTGGCTTCTATTCTGAAAATCCAAAAAGTCACTGACAAGACTACAGTTGTAATAGTGTAAGTAGAAATTTTACTTTTAAAAAGTAATATTTAAACACTCAGTTACATAAGGTACCGATTTGTCAACTGGATAATCAGTTGGAAAATTGTTTCCAATATGGGCTTCAAAACATTCTTTTACGTACAGGCAAAATATAACCATACCTCCCTCTCTGCAGGAGAGAGACCACTTGTTGTCAAAGGAAGGAAAAAAACATACTAGAAGTTGTACTTAGTGTGAGGAGTGGCTCTTGGTAAGAGTTTTAACTACAATCATTTTATCAGTTGCTCAAGAGAGACTCAATTCCAATATTAAGATGTTCTGTGGAACAGCAGATATAAAATCAATGAATTGGCACAATCACAGGTTTACAGAGAATTAGAACTAATGTCAAACGTTTTGCTGTTGCTTTAAATACTGGTCATTTTTTCCTTTGGTTACTTCCTATAACGCAGTACTCGTAGTAAAAAGACAACAGTGTCAGCTTTTCACACAAAAAGTAATTACTGTTGCTGACATTTAAGAGAAAAAAACTATCACTTGGTAAGGACATACAAAGTATAATTTATTTGGCAGAGGAACTAAAACACTTACTACAACTCCAAGAGGGAGCCAAGATAAAACTACACTCTTCATTCTTCTCCTCACTTTCAATGTTTCTCATGAAGTTCAATTTGGAAATCACGATTTCATCAAGGTAAGATTAGGTCTCTAAGCAACTGGCCCACGTGAAGTAAACAGCACAAGGTTATGACCTGCTCGAGTTCCCTATTATTATCTGAATTCTCTTGTTAACTACCTAGGTTTAGGCATTATGTTCACACCAATCTATGAAGCACTTCCAAATTTTTGCAGACCTTAAGCTTACACGTTAAGGCACTTACCATTCAAGTAAAACAGTTTTTATATAAACAAGCCTGGGAGATGGAGAGAACATTTTACCAGAACATCCTTTTTTTTTTTTTCTTCAAAGGAAAAAAAACATTGACCAAATATTTATAAAATTTTGCATCAAGAGAAAGGTTGTGTTTTATTATCTGAAATGAGCACAAAGTACACCTTCCACAATAACACTGAAAGCAGTGCAAAGACTGACAGTGACCTTTGACTAAAGGTAGTTCTGTAAAAAGAAAAATACCAAATAAATCAGTGCCCTGCTTTGATTGTTGTAAAATTTCTTTCTTTTTACATAAAAGTTGGTCCAAACTTACAAAAAAAGCACAAATGTGCATAGTTCAGAAGATCTGAAAGAGTGCCATAAAAAGCTGATGTCCCTAAATTTAGCATCCACTTAAAACTGCCAAAATACAAAATAAAATTCAGAACTAGTTTGTGAACATGTACAATCAATTCTAGTTTTCAGACAGCATGAGTTGTAAGCATTTTTAATTTTTTCTACTGTATGCAAGACCCTTTTCCACATAAAAATAAAGCTGTTTAATTAACATTATTCAAGTCTGTTGAACTGCTGCTTTAAACTGCAGCTGGGGGGGGGGGAAGTTTTTCCAGATAAAAATGATGTGCCTGAGGAAAAACAGATACTCAATACGGTAATCCTCTGCCTCGCCCTCTCACTGCAGATGTGCTAATGTGTCCCCTGTATCCTTGGGAATAGCCAGGTCCTTGGGCAGGAGAAGTCCAAGTCTGTCCATGCATGTGGCTGATGCCACTGGGATTTTCCTGTAAATTACTTCCAAAGCTATAGTTGTGCATCTTTGTCGGCAAAGAGTGTGTACTCTCTGGCCCTGCGGAAGTGTCACCGCTGCTCCCCAAAACAGAGATTGGACCGTGGCTGTACTCAAACCTATGGTCTTTATCTCCACTAAACAGCATGGGGCCAGTGTTGAGGTAAATGTCTCCATACCCAGTTACTGAGCTGGGAAAGGATTCGGAAAAGGCTGATGGAGGAGGGGCAGCACCAGAGTGAGATGAAGCAGTACTGTAGTTATCCAAAGACTGAATATCTGAGTTTCCTAGGAAACTCCTCCTCTCTAATACTCCTGATGATCCGCTTCCTATTCCATCACTACTGCTGTAACGGGCAGAGGAGAAGGACGACGATCCAAAGTTATCCTTGTAGTCTGGGCCTGTTACGTAGGAGTCTCTAGCCTGATAATCCACACTCGTTTGTACTGGCTCTTCCGTCGTCGCCTGAGCTTGATGCTGAGCGAGCAGCTGCAGAAGAGCTGCTTTCACTCCTGCATGGGGATCTGTTCCTGAAGAGTTACTTATAGGCAAATGCTGATTCTCTGTCCGATAATCAAGGTCTTCATCAGTGAGGGGTGGAGGCTCCGGGGGCTCAGGGGGACGCTGGTCCGGAGGTAAGATCCGGGGGCGTTCCTGTTCGGGCGTGCGGTTTAGGAGTCTCATCTCAGACTGCCTAACCAAATCCTCTTGACCTAGGGAGATAAGAAAGAAAAGCTCTGGAATAAAAATATACAGTAACAGTACCACAAAGGAAAGGGCTCTCTCCTGGAAAAATACAGATGTTTGTTACATCAATTCTCATGAACTTATTAGCTAAATTTTTCAGTAGTTCTACAGACTATTCTCAAGAACAAAATCTGGCAACAGCTCATTTGCCTTGGGAGTGTGATGCAGGTTTCTCCTTGAAGTAAGAATACCAGGCAAGCAGCTAAACAAAACCAGTACGAGTTCCTTAAAAGAAACCCCACCAAAGCAAAACTCAAGCAACAGAGAAACACTAGAGAATTCAAAGAGGGATCAGGAAAGATTTGCAAATAGGGATTGAGGGACAAAAGACCACCCTTACCAAAGAACAGCAAGACTCAAGATTAAAAAGTCATGGACAAAAACAGCACACCACTCAAAAAACCCAACCACTCAACAACCACCTCAGGAAACAGCCACAAACCATTTCAGATACTTCTTTCCATTGCTGCAAACACCACAATGCAATACATAAACCACCATACAATAAAACTGAAATAGCAATAAAAAAGATGAACAGAGCTCTAAAATTTGAGAAGACTAAGGAAGCCACTACTATACCCCACTGGAAACCTTTAGCCATGCATGTGACACTTACAGAATTTGACACTAATCGCTCTAGTCAGCTTTAAAAGCAAAATAGGCTGTACCTAAACACAGAGTCAAAACTGACAAATTCCATCTATGAATCTGCTACAGAAGTCTGTCTCCACCACACAAAGCACTAAGAAAACCCCAACCCCCCAGAATAACAATAGATGTAACTGTTTCATCTCGTGTACCTCTTAGCATGGAGATCACTGTTTGCTCTGTCTGCATGGCACCTGTTAGACACAAATGCTATGATCCAGACACAAAATGTGACAAAATCAATTTAATCTCCTATACTCACGCACACACATATGGTAAAGACATTAATTCTCTATCCCCAAACTATTCCATCTCCAGTGCTCAAGGTATCTGCTGGTTAGGAACAAAGGCCATCAGTACCTGCAGATGTATACAAGGATTTGATCAGATGTGGGTAGCCAGGTGCTGGAGACTCCACGTCGTCCCGGCTGACAGATGCAGGCGTGCTGGGCTCTGGAGGCTGCCTGAGTTGTAATGACATTTCATTTCCTGATCCGTTTTCCTTCTCCTCCAACACAAAATCTTTTTGCTTTGTTTGCTGAGCTTTTATTAACTGAGACAACAGAACAGCAAATGCACTCTGCACAGCTGCCTGGGCAGCGTCAGTCTCAGCCTTAGGCTGACTCAGCTGCGGAGGCCCAGGAGGCTGCGCGACCATCGGCTGTTTGAGAGGGTCCTGGCCTGGCGGTGGTGGTGGTGGTGGTGGTGGCGGCGGCTGCTGCTGCTGTTCTGACTGTTTTTCACCTGCTGACAAAATTCCAGCAGGAAGATTTATTTTATTTAGTTGCTGCTGAGTCTCTGGGTTTACCTTAATATTCAATACTTGGGCAAACTGTGCCAAACTAACACTTGTTTTAGACTGTAGCAGGTTTAGCAGGATTGCCACTTCATTCTGGTTTAACTGCTGTCCAGTGCTTGTTTTTGCTAAAGACAAAAAAGGTGGTTTTAAGTATTATTTAGAACGGGCACATTTCAGAAACTCAAAAGAAAGACTAATCTAGCATGGCTGACACAACTGGCAAAGCATGGGTTTGAACAATGTAGAAATGGAATGCTTTTACATATAAACTGCCTTTGGGGGAGTTCCTATAGGAAATGGAACAGTAAGATCCAATACAAAGAATGTGACTTCCACAAGAAACACACATGCACTTGGACAGATGGAAAAACATCAAACTGGAGCTCAATTTTCCACAATACAACTGAGCTGGGGCTTAAGGCCACCTGCTTTTAGGCAGCTCAAAGATTTCCAATTCCCACAAAATTTCCCATCTTGGACATGTCATATCCCTTTGTTAAAAAGAAGCCACCTGCAAAATGCATTTCCAGTCACATTTTGGCTCATTCTCATTCAACATCTGGGTTCTAACACCTGCACAAGCCACCAGGCTCTAGGTAGCCCAGAAGCTCATGGTATAAATGCAAAAGCAAGTGCTGAGTTTGAAGGCCAAGAAGTCAATCACTCAGCAGCAGGAAATATGTGCTGATATACAGTTTCTTCAATGAAATGGAGTTTGCCACAAACAAGAAGAGATTATGATGATGCAGGGGAATATAAGGAAGTCAAAATATCAAAGTAGTTTCTTAGCTTTAAACACTCATTGTGGCTGTTTATTTTGAAAGAAGTGAAGCAGCATGGATTTCAACATGCCCTTTAAGCAGATGACTTAGAGATGAATCAGTTAAAAATTAGAAAATGTGTGTGACTGTGTTGGCAGACCCCTGAATTTTTTTTAACCCAGATCAGCATGAACACATTCTCTCCTCTTCTATCCCTGCCATCCTACTAGTTCACCAATATAATAATTCATAGCAAATTAAAAGACATGCATGAAAAAAATGGTAACACACAAAAATATTAAGTATGTACCTTGCAAGACCAGCACAGCTGTAAAGTGCTGCAAAACCCACAACCCACTACTCTACTTGTGGATGTGCACCAGAATACAAGAACTTGAAACCTACTCAGGCAGGATCCAGGCACTTCAAAATATTTATAGAAAAATAACACCACTTTTTATTTGGCAATACAAAAAACCAATGTGATTTCTAATGCCTTGTACTGCTGGCTCTCACTCAGATGTCATGATTGACCGTTGATTTCCTCACACCTGAGGATGGTACACTCAACACAAACTTCTGACTCTCAGTGAAAATTCACCAGAAAAATGCCAAACAGGGAAATTAATCTATCTATTCCACACTCTTTGGTTAGCTTCAAGTTCATTCCAACACAGCTCCTGTTAAACTGCAAGATGCAATAACCAAAGCTACCATTCATGAACTGGAACATGAGCAATTGATCCAAGATGTTTTTAATCTCTCCTTCTGGGGTGCTTAGAAACAAATGCAACAGTTTCAGTTAAGTCATGCATTTGTTCATGGAGTTAAATAATATGCCTTACTAATTGTGTTATCTAAGGTGCATTATGACTTCCAGAAGTGTTTTAACACAGAAAACACCTCTATGCTCCACTGAAAATTAAATTGTCTTCTTTTCTACCTAGATATATGTTTTTCTACATACATATGGGCAAACAGCAATATAGCTCTGAATGATTCCTTCTCTATTTGCTTAGTTTATTTTGCATGGTTAGTATTAATGACTACAAAACAGTAGTCTTTCATCAGGCTACCTGTTACAAAAGCATAAAGATCCTTTGGACTCTTCAAACTTCTAATATAGCTTTCACTTGCGAGGGGAAAAGGGCTACAGAAAGTCATTCTTGAAAATGCTGCCAAAACTTCAGCCTAAACATATGGAGTAGCAGAAGCTCACAGCTGGCTTACAGTGAGAAACCAGATGAACAGGAGCAAGAGGCAATAAACTGCAATAAAATATGATCAAAATAACTATTTTCTATATATTGTTGCACAGAATATTTGGAGCTCTGCTCTACTGCTCAATTAAGAGCTGATTCAAGATGGTAAGTATTAAAGAATTTTGAGGTGCTATGAATGCATTAGCTGTTTTTCAGCTGAATTCCTGGAACTGTGCTATAGGATTTATGTTCATTTTGCACAATCAAAAATAGTCTAAATTAAACTTACTAGATATCAATTTGAATGTTACTCTGCATACTTCTACATATTGTGAGAGAACTGTTACTGAACTGCTGAGTAGCTCATCAAATGGTATCCATACAGGAAATCATTACTTTGTATTTCTTTATATCATATTCCAAAAACTGGTCTCAAGCAAGATACTTGAGTTAAGATTCAGAATTAATGGCTGTGCAAACTACAGAAGTAGCTACTTCGTGTTACATGAGGTTCAGGGCAGTGGGGATGTTCGTATCTATTTTTTTATTTATTTTTTTTAACAATTTTGTTCAGTCCTAACAACTTCGAAAGCTGAAGACTAATGTAATATGCAGAGAGAATCTGTTTCATTTGAAGTGATGACTGTCCTAAACTCTGCCGTCTTATCAGTTTGTCAATACCAATAAAGCTTCTCCAATCTATGGAGATTGTAAGGAACTTAGAACAGCCACTGGCTTCTGGGATCACGGAAGAACTGTAGATGAGCAAGAGCTAAAATCCCCTCAAAATACTGAGCAAGTTGCTCTGACCAGATTTAAAAGTTAGGTGGAACTGAAAAGGAACACTCAGCTTCCAAAAGCAAAGATAAACCTTTTGTAAGAAAGATTTAACTTACAATACTGTTCCTCCCTCAAGAATCCAGGAGACGCCAATACTCTGCAAGTAACATCTAAAATTTCTAGAGGTGCAATCCAAGTAGAAGGTAATTATAAGAACTGAAAATGTTACTGACCAAGTGCTACACTAGAGCTGCCCTGAGTTTTGAGTTGGGAAGAAGTTTGCATGCCTTGTGGGGTGTTGGTTCTGCTCTCATCCATGCCTAGAGACAGATCCTTCCTAGGGACTTTAGCTGCTGTCGAGTCATCAGTCATGCCCATCTGCTTCTGTCTTCTGCGTTTCTTACTCCACAGCTCATGACAATCCTGCCACAAAGGAAGGCTGCAAAGAATGATTGGAGATAATCAGTTTTATCCCAGAACTAGTTTTTTCTTAAGCATACTGGTAAAATAAACACTTAAACTATACATAATACACCTTCTCAACGATGAACCTACTGAAACTCGAAAATACATCAGCAAATACTCAAAAGCCAGCAAAATCTCAGATCTGCTTTTCCTCTCTGAAATCTCTTCAATGACCGCCTATTTCAAAAGCACAGGTCCTTCTGGCAGAAGAGGGGAACATGTATCTTAAACTGAGAATTCGTTGTCTTGCATTCACTCTCGTGAAAAGCCTAATTATTTGTGTAATTCAAGGCTTCAAAATCAGTCCTGCATACTTGCTATGAAATAGAATTTGCATAGTAACAGATAAAGTTATCAATATGAAAGTGGATTTTTTTTCAGGGTCCAGCTGATCAATTCCTTCTGTCTGCTTGTAAAAGTACTATGGTCTCATTAGGTCAAATATTTGTCCACAGAAACAGACACAGCTATCTAGTATTTATAGTGTACAGCACAGTCTACCAAGAAAATAGGGGAAAAAAGAAAAAAGTTGCATAGATAAGTTGCATGAGTAAATAGCACTTCACACTAACAAAGCTGGGATACTAGAAAGGACAAGAGATACACTGGTCCTTTAAGAGAGATAAAAGTAGAGGCAAAAGTCTCCTAAGGAACTCATCTGTCACCAATTCTGTCCTTCCACTACAGTTCCCTGCAGGCACCCCAATTCTGATTTCCTGAGGAATACAAAAACTCATTCACAGATAGTGGAAATACTGAGATAGGCAGTAAAAACAGTGTTTTATGTTTTCCTATTACATATTAATAACTGTGTTAGCAGTTCTGTCACCCAGGAACATGGAAAAATTAGGTGACAGATGACAAGAGACACTGGAAAAGCAATTATGACAACTGCTTCCTTCATTCTCTCCCTCCACATACCATATCAATGATCTGCCAAGTATTTTCTGAAAAACAACTGGATGCAACAAGAACGCATTGTGAGAAGTCTCCTACAGTCCTTGCAATCACTGCTGTCAATTCGTTTGAATGAACAGCTATTTCTTCCCAAAAGAGAACTTCAGTCTTTCAAAAGAATAGTCAACACTTTCCTGTCCATGCTGTCAGAGGTGAGTGTGGTTCCTCTTAATTTCCAGAAGGACAATCAATGACTAGTTTGCTTTGAATTTCCATGTATCAGCTTCTAGAATGTATGCATGACCACGTTCCTGAAGAAAAAAATAGCTTCTTCCCATTCACTTACTTTAAAATGCACACAAGCAACATCGTGTACAAATGGTTCTGAGTCTTTAGCCAACAGCTTGAGACTGCTGATTTCTGATTCTCAGACAGTGATATAGTCATATTCAGGCAACAAACCCTCTCAGCCTCATGTTTCAGGAGCATTTGCCCACAGAGGCTGTGGATTCTCTCTCACTGGAGATACTCAAGAACCATCTGGATGCAATCCTGTGTCATGTGCTCCAGGATGATCCTGCTTGAGCAGGGACATTGGCCCAGATGACCCACTGTGGTCCCTTCCAACCTGACCTATTCTGTGATTCTGTGTGACAACTGTGTGTATGTAACAGGTAAGTCTTGAAAGAGTTTTAATAAAATCCTTAAATAAACCTCTTAACATTTTCCCCAGTTGGTAACTAATTAAAAGAAGTCACTACAGGCTGCCTGGAAGGTTCAAATTTCCTCAAATAACATTACATGTTCTATGGCCTGACACCTATCTTGAGGAAAAGAGGAGACCTGCAGATTCTGGAATACCTTTTCATTGCCTTCTCCTCAGGGCCTGTTCCAATACGATTTGTACTGATTAAAATGAGAACTATGTCGCTGCAAGAATTCCACTGGACACTGCACTACATCTCCTCTCAGAGAAACTGACAGGAAAAGCCCTGCACAAAGTATTTCATTTCTCCTGCCTGTGAAACCAAAGACTCTTACCTGGCTCAGGAAAGAATTTACAGTATTTCACTTTAACACTCAGGTGCCTTTGCATAATTCTATACTCAGTGTATATACATACTATCGAAGAAGGCAATGTAGATAGCCAAAGAACCTCAAAACCCTTGGAAAAAGCAGACACTGATAAAGGGCAATGATGTTTTTTTAAATTAGAAACACTCATAGAAGAGTATTTTCTTTAAAGGTCGTAACTCAGTAACTAGTCCTAGGAATAACAAATGAAACAATTCGCAGATCCTCACAACCCTTGCTGTCAAGGTGTAAGAGTCACTCAGCTGCACAACCATTTTACTTCAGAATCACTATTCAACAACAGCATATACCAACGTTTTTGTTCTGTCACTATCTACTTTATCTGAAACACAATGAGTTTAACAATCAATGCATGTTCACATTTCAGAGGTAAGGACCATTATACCAATGGAAACTACTTACTCCGGAGGAGGCATTTTAGATGGCTCCACGTCTCGCAGAAACTCACACTGAAGAGCTTGTTCAGCTGTGCAGCGCTTGCTGGGATCCAGAGCAAGCATGTAATCAAACAGATCTAATGCAGCTGGTGGGATGCTACAGGAGGGAAAAACAAAACAATCACATTTTTATTTCATGCACTTGCACACAAAATTCTGATTTCAATAATAAAAATTTGAAACTTTAATAAAAATTCAAAAAATAAGTCAGTAACTGAGCATTCAGAGCACTCAGAGAGCTTACATACTCACAAAACTCACTCAACCTGAGTGTGGTAGTAAGAGGCAGAGAGAAACTTCACCTTTTACTACCTGTACGTCCATACAACCCAAGTTTTCTTTGCATTGTTTAAGTGCTTGAAACATTGTCCTTACAAAAAAGCACCCCCATGTTTTTAAGTCAAGACTATATTGTTACTTTACACTTTGGAATTTAGCACCCAGGGAGTTGCACTTTTAATTGCTCTGTGGACAATAATCCTATTGCTTTAAAGATACTGGTCTCATTAGTACGAACAGGACGATGCATTTCTCCTGAAACCCACAGTACCCAAAGGAGGAGAACAAACCCTTTAAAATAAGCTTACAGCTGTTTTCCATAACTTTCACGTGTGATATTTGCACAAAACTACTCCAATGGTAGTACTTTAGAACATACAGTTGGGATAATTCCTCTGTGTTGTATGAATTTATGACTCAACAGACTAATGTTAGCCAGACTATGCATTTAGCTGTAGCCAGTTGTACTAATAAAAAACAATTAAGTACTCTGAGCTGTTTTTTGGACAGGGGCAACACACAGGTGTACCAATCATGGAAAACAAATGCTTCCTTCAGTGAAAGCTGACAGGTGGCTGAAATTTTAGTGACTTCTTTCCTCTTCTTGAAGCTCCTATTACATAAGGGTTAATACAAGCTCTGTGGGTATCTCACGGGAAGGACAAGAACCTAAAGCCTATTTTCTTTACATTCAATCTATGTTCATTCTCCAGAAAATACTGAAGTTCATTAAGTCTCCAGAAAATCTTAATGCTATTACGATTGACTAAACTAATTCTTCATCCTTACAAAGCAAACTCTTCTCTCAGTTTTCGACGGTACTGCTTCTTTGGTTTCATTGTGTTGAAATAAGCTAATTTTATAACATCAGGCCACACTGCTGGACAAGGACTCCCACAAATTCGGCTGTACCAAAAAGAAGGGAAAAAAATGGTATGAGATCCAAAACCACAAGCGAGCACAGCTGTCATTTTATTCTTGCACATACAATGAAAACCAAAATAATTTTCAATTTTAATGTTCAAGTTATTTTTAGCTAAAGTTTCTCTAATGCCAGATGCTCAACACCATTAAATAATGGTGAATTGTCTACAAAAGGTAATCACTCCACACAGACTAAATTTACTGTTTCTGCCTCAGCTCAGCCCACAAATACTCCACACAAATGTTTTGAAAAACTTAACCAACTTTGTCTTAACAGTACTCTGGGTACTTGACTTGAAGTGGATAGTCCACATTTAGAGTAACTTTTACATCCTAAGCTCCCAATGCCACTGAAGAAATACACCAAATTGCTCAAAACCAATTTTCACGGAGAATTTATTTAACACTGAAGACATAAGGGAGGGAAAAAAAAAAAAAATCTTAATCAGGTCTAAAGGCAGAAGCAAGACCTGACTACTAGAAAATCTCCTGTATTTTTTTACTTCAGTTATGAGTTTTACATCTCAAGCCTCAACTGTCTCCAGAAATAGAGCTGCCCACAGTCTTAGTCCTTCCCCCCGTCCCCATTTTGTTGAGTCAAGGACAGCCAAGCAGAGGTTGATCAACACCACACTTCTAGGCAGAGCTAAACAAGCATTTTACCATACATGCAAGGCTTCAAACTCTGATGCAGGCACTCACAAAAGGGCGCTTTGAAAATTCATTTCCCCAGTTCAGCCTTCCCATCTATTAGATTTAAACAGTTAGTGTAAGAGACTAGTTATGCCCCAAATGCTATCTGACTTTATGCTACTTGGGGTATGTAACTTTCAAGAGGGGGGAAAAAATTTCAAAAAATCTCTCTTCCTATCAGAATTTACTTCAGTTCTATCTTCGAATACTACAGCTAGAAAGGATAAATGTAGAACTGTTGACTGCAACTTGACTGTAGTAGAGATGTTGATAAAACTGATATATAACATTTAAACAGCAAAAAATGCATAGCATCAATGAAGGGCAAAAATGAGCTTACAAACAGAAGCTGCTAGCAGAAGGAAATCACAAAATTCTAGTTTTCTGTACCAGAGGTACAACACAAAGGAAAAAAAAAAAAATCCAAGTGACTCATTGTGATGTGCTTCAATGCCATCTAGTGCTCAAAACCAAAAATTTCCCAACTTGAGAGTTTAATTCTCCTTACACTGAAAATGACCAGATATGCTTTTGCACCTCCCAAAAACTTCATTTTTCCAGGCCAGCTAATAACACATTACACAGAAACATGCTACTGTTCAATCTGTTTTGAAAAACATCTGAATATGTAACTTTGCAATATTTTTAGTAAGTTAATTTTTAAAATAATTTTGTCAAGTAACGATGACCATTTACTGTTCACCTTCTGTAAGTTTTGTAGGACTCATCCTCTTTTCCCCTTGTTTCTGGGAAGAGGACCTCTCCTCATTTACAAGGCCAATTATGATATCAGAATCA